TAGCTAGACGTTTTAGGCTAAAGGGATAGCTAATGCTTTGCCTCTGACACCTTCATCTGAGAAGGTTTCCCAGTTGAGTTTGCCAGTGAAGCTGAATAACATCTCTGAGGCAAGTATTTTCTTTGGTTTTGACTGAGAATTTTAACTCCTGCTCAGAGGCTTCTTCCATGAAAGTATGAGAGGAATACTGGTTTTTCTGTCTTTTTGAGACCAAAAGAAGTGGGAAATAGACACGCAGTCTACAGGTGAGTCTTTGATTAGCTCATGTTACTCCAGACAACATTTATCTTGTTTACATCTTCCTGCAGATTTGACTGAAGTCAATAGAGATGCATATGAGTACATCAGTGCAAACTTTCTTCTGCATAAAGAAGACAACATAAAACAAATCTGCATTCCTTGTAACAGTAAATTTTAATGTGTATTAAATTATAAAGTGTATAAATAAGGCTTAAATTATAATGTTGAAGGATTCTTGTTAGACAAGACATGATTGATAGTTTTGGTAACAGAATTTAAAATCTGCTTGATATAAGTCATGCCTTCTGCATTATTCTGACTGGAACCGTGTGCTGTGGTTCTAAGAAGTAATTTGCTTATTTATTGTAACAGCCCATTTAATGAAAATTTAATGAAGAGCAGTCCTTCTGGAAATCTTAGGCTCTGTGTGTGTAGGAGGAATATTGGATCAACGTCATCTGTAACATTTTTAGCTTGGGATTTTTATTGGTGTGTTACTAGAAGTTCTGTGCTTGCAGTCTACTTTTGTGGCAATGACACAAACTAAATGCAGCTTCTTCGGAGACAAGGACTTGCCAAATGTTGTCCTTGTCACAGGAGAGGCTACATGAGTAGCTACAACGTCACACTAACCATGTGTGCAATGGGATGTTTCTTTTCTCACTTCTGAGAGGAGAGAGGCTGTTTTGGGTTTGAGAAAACTGTAGCAACAAGGCTGCAGGAGTAAGATGCTTTCTTAGGTGTGTGTATGTCTGTATGGTGGCTTGCTCCCACTTCACATACCCTCCCCAGTAATGTATGAGAAGTGTAATTTTTTTCTCTGATATGAAAAAAGCATGAATTTGGAAATCTTAGCACTTTTTTTTTTCCAATTTCTTTTAGTCAGTCTTACTTTATTAAGCTAGCATATTTATACCAAATATGGAGTTCTGAAGTTGACTAGGATGTCCCTAAGATCACCACTGCCATTATAAAGCCAGGAATCTAAAAAGAGGATAAATCCCTTTTGTATGGCTCTGTAAGCAGCTCTACTTGCTGGTTAGATTTACATATCAAATGCATTTCAATCTTTTTTTCTTCTGAGCACTTCTGAACTAAGCCTATTCTTCAGGGTATTTGTTCAATTATGTCACTTAGGAGCTTGTGGATAGTTCCTGGGCCATTGTAATGTGTGACCAGTTATCAAGCTTTGTATTAAAGTCCTATGTGCCTTTTTTCAGTAACAGTGGTGCTTTTTTCCCATCCCCTTACACAGTTTCCTGTTGCCTATTTCTTCCTTGTGTTTTTGTCCTTGTGCAAGTACAACTTGTGGTAGTATTTGCTGAAATGTAGGAGAAAAATTTCTGGATTTCACTCGAGCCCTGAAGGTTGTGAGTAGGCCTTGAAACCGGAAATTCCCATTGCAGCTCCAGAGCTGAGAGAGTAGTGGGAGGGAGGGGGTGCATGGCTGGGGTAATTGATGGAGAAAGTGGAAATGCTCTTATCCTCATACTGTCAGGAAGAGTAATACCCAGCCCTGTGCTGGAGCACACCTGGGATCACTGGGTCGGGATCAGACAGCAAGGCTGGTGTGCCGTCCTTCTCCCTCCTGCGCTGTCTCCACAGTCCTGCTGTACCACTACTGAAACACTTGGTCACAGAATTTATCCCATTTGTGAATTTAACATACATGCTTTTTGCAGAAAAGAAAGATATTTGGTGGAGAGTGTCTTAGGAAAATCTATTTACTCATGGAAACTTGTCTCAGATTTGAAGAAAGAGAGGAAAAGAGGACACTTTGCATGTGCAAACACCAGTTCATACCTCATACACACACACAGAGATGTGTGCATGATCATATGCACATACCAGTTGTGATCATTTCCAACAACTATTCACAAGACAATAGTTTCAAAACCACAGTGTCAAACTGGAAGCCTGTGTGTGTTGCTGTGGATATAAGGGTTTGCCAAGAAAAGCAAGTCAAGTTTGCCCAAAAAATTACTGATGTAGGGTTGAGAACTTGATTTTCTGAAGTGATCTTCTTCTGAAAATGAGCCTCTTCAGAGCCATTAAGCCTTGACTATCAAAAACATGAAGCAACTTTCTACATCTTATTGCTGGTACTACTATTAGTAGTAAAAACAGGAAACATGAAAGAACATGCGAGCGGCACGGCATTGTGAACAGATATTAAATGGAATTGTTCATTAAAGAATGTTTATTAATATTACTTTAAATTATTAGACTGATTCAGGAAGTCACTTAACATTAAGAATGTAATTAAGTGTATGTTTAAATTATTCTCTGAACTGATTCAGTAACAAAGGATCTGGATTAGAACTAAAAGTAAACACCAAGGACGTCTTCAGGCTTTGGTAAGTTGAATACAGTGGAATTACTTTGGTGAAAGGAACAATAAAAGAAAACATAGAATTAAGTTTTTTGGAAGCTTTTTTCTTTTCTTCTTCTGTAAATGTGGTATTTTAAAGTTTCTCACTTCCCTAGATCCCTTTGTTTTAGTAGATATGTTATAAATGTGTATATATATATATATATATATATGCACACACACGTGTGTGTATATATATATGTATAGACACACTATATGCACATGATGTCCAAATGTAACACATGGGAATAAATAAGCATGTAGCCTGAAGACATAATGTTGTAGCTTCAAGAGGCAGGCCCTGACAGGAAAATTTGACTATACAATAGTACTTCCCAACAGCATGATTGACCAAGTTTTCCAAGTCTCCCCCTTCTGAACCACTTTCAGCCCCACTAATAACAAAAAAGGGAAAAATCACAGGCTGAGCAGTTTATAACAATGCTAAAGGGAACTGGGAGAGTTCTTCACCGCGAATTTCCAGATTTTCTCACTATGCCCATCTAGTCCCCAAAGCCCTCCTTAGCAGTTTCTTAACAGCTCTGACCCCTACAGAGCTCTTAAGATCCATCTCTGTCCATACAAAATTTAGATAATTTGTGATTTGAACAATTGTCCATACATTAGACTATCCCAATTAAGTAGTCCCTACTGCCCCTACTTTGCTATAAAACCAGTTGTATCATATAAGTGATAGAGAGCAGCAGAGAGAATCACATGAATACGTAATGTTTCTAATGTTGCTCATCTGTGTTGCCACAGTGCTTGGCCTGCAAAAATACTTAATCATTTTGAATGAGATAGCTTCTCTAATAACCGGTGCTGTGGTGGTCACAGCTTTCTTATGCTGGGAATTTAGAAACTTCAGCTGGAACTTAAATAAGCTGTACTGGTGCTTCTCAAACCCTGACAATGGGGACACAACCTGCCAAAGGGCTGTATGATGTGTATATATATGTGCTTATCTGCTCCTGCCAGGGTAGGCGCATCTCGAGAGCTTTAGATAGGAAGTCACTGAAGCCTAGACTGAGTACTAGCACTGAAAGGTGAGCTTACCAGCAAGTGACTATCCCTGGAGTTCACACCAGCAAATGACTCTCCCTGGAGTTCTCCATGGTGAAAACCCGCCATCAGATGGAAGACTGTGAATATTGTTGAATTTAGATACTAGTTGTCTGGCTGAATTGCTGAGAGTGTCTGAGGCTGCTGGCATGGTTCTGCAGACCCTGCCGTGCCCTGCTGTCTTCACTAGCCCTCCTCGGAGCTGTCTGGAGGAAGGGCCTATTGAATCATATTTGAAGGAAAAAAATGAAAGAAAATTGGGTAAATAAACTCTTAAAATTACTTTTACCAGTAGCTGGGCACCCCTAAGGTGGTATACTGAAATAATAAATTAGGATCCTGTCTACAAATCTGTGATTTCTTTAAAGATGCAGATTTTTTTCCATAAGCAATGATGCTTTCCAAACACCTTTTAAATAATTTGCAATCAGAAACGAGAATATAGAAGATTTTTAAGTACAGAGTGTCATATTAGCTTTCTGTATTCATCTTGATAAATTCTTAAGTTCTTACTGTGCATTTTCCAGGCTTTTTTTTTTCTGAATCTGCTTGTTTGGGAGAGCTCAGGCAGTTTTTGACCCTGTTAACATACCTATTTTGCTATGTTTTTTCTCACTGTTAAGCAAACTGAAAAAGTAGGGAATTCAGTTCTGCTAAATTTGGTCTCCAAAACCTCTCCACCTCTCCTTAGTTTTTTCCTCTAGAACATTCAGAAAGCACGATCTGTTAGTGTGATGTCTGCTAATTCCTCCCTGCCAATATAATCACTTTCTAAACGCATCAGCTCTCAGAAAGGACAGAAGTGCATGGCAACTCTGTGTGTAACCTGGGCATTCCAGCTCCAATCCATACCCCCTAGGGGTAGAATGTTCATTTCACCCAGCTTTATTGCTACCTCTCAGCAGCATTGATGGTTAAAACCCCACCTTGTCCTTCTCAGACAGAAGAGAGGTTGCTAGTATGACTAGGTTGCTAGGTTTCTAAAATTAAGGAAAATGTAGGAATCATGTGCTACAGGATGCAAACCCCGAAACATGACAGGGAAATGCAGAGTTTTGGATGAGGAAACATGGAATACTTGTGTGTGTTATATTGATTTGTATTGCATTAGGTAAGGAGTCTATATGTGACACAATAATTTAGTGTTTCTGTGTAAGTCTAGCAGATTCAAAGCCAACTTTCTAGTGCCTATTTTGCAGGGATTTTTCAGGAGCATTTCGAAAGATCAACCATCTTTCTCTTTCACTGACAGGGCTTTTCTGATTTAGCTCCAACATTTGTAATTGCTTCAAATGCGTTGTTATTGCCTTTTCCTGCCTGTACTTAGCTACTGCTTGCCTTTATTGGTCTTTCTAAATTCCAGATCTGGGCACATATAAGAAGAAAGAAAGATTTGTCCTCCTGTTCCTTATCAGACTCATATCCCCTCCTTCAAGTTAGGTTTTGGGCTGGAACTGCAGTCCCAGTCCTCTGGGTTTATCCCAAATCACTGTCTCCTCTGCCCTTCATCCTACTTCATGTGGCTCAAGGAAGAAATATCCTGCGGTCAAGAATCCAACAAACACAGCTTCTGCTGACAAGTTTTCACCAGAAAAAGGTTCTTCAAAGCCATCCCTTAATCACTTGGAACCTGTTTGTAGTTCTTGCTTGCTGGACAAAATTGTTCTTACTTTCTGAGAGGGTGAGTGCTTGAATAAATTGAACAAAACCATGTGCATGTGGAGACATAAAAATCTATTGATTTTTTGTGTTTGCCCACAAAATGTTAAAGAAGTTTGTTTGAACAACTGTCTTAAGCTGAACACAAAAGGATGAGCACAGGCAACAGAAGAAAACGCATTATAAATAAAAAAAAAAGTACTTTTCACCGTTCTATTGTACTTTGAACTATTTGTCTCCTTTCTGTGCTTCTCCATATTGCTCTATAAACTTCTGAGGTTGCAGAATTATTTCTCTTCACTTAAGTTTGAATAGAAACTCATTCTTCATTTCTACTCAGAATCGGTGGCAGTCTTCATGATAAATGCTCAGCTCAGTACTCCCCAAATTTTCCAGGCAGTTTCACAGTTTCCATGCAGGTGAGCTTGGGTAGTCTTTGTTCCTTCACATCCACACGTGAGCCACAGAACAGCCTTCATCTTGCAGGCTCATGTGTTGTATCTGCAAAGGTGGCAGTGTTTTTCTGTAGTTTAAGATGGTAAAAACAGTCAGGTGTTTTCATTTCTAACTTCTTGTTGTCCTGTATTTAGGATTCCTTAAGACTTTGCATCCTTAGGTGTCTTTTCTCTGATGTGTTCGTTGTCTCCAAAGTTGAGAGAAAATAAAAAAAAAGAAGTTTATATATTGCTGAAATTTATAATATGATGTAACATGCCTTTATGGACTGCTAATTATTTGAAAATGGATTAACGTTAATATAGTTGGTATCTGGGGTGCATTGATTTATCCATATCTTTAATCTCTATATCCCTGTATGCAAATCACCATGCAGACAAAAACAATATATCTGTGTTCCGAATCATAAACATCCAGGACCTGTGTTTCTTTGATTGCTTGCAGTTAGTATAACATAAACCTTGCTAAATGTTCTTCTATCAATCTACAAAACCTGTAAACAAGTCATCTTTGCATTTTCCTTATCTCTTTGCTTAAAGTCAGAAAAATAAAAAAAAAAAAAAAAAGCTTTTGAATCCTTTGATTTAGAGAATTTATTTCCAGTAATTTTAGGACAGCCGTAACATACCTGGATTTTCTGTTCCTGTAAGCTTACAATATTATTGACATATTAAAGTGTATCTTATTATGCACGTTTTGCATAGTGACAGAAGGAACACTTCAAGGAAGAACAGAGGTTGTTCATATAGCAGTGCACCTAGAATTTTTTAATAATATGTGTAAGAAAAAATTGCTGACTCATTGAAACCAAGCAGTGAAATTGTACATTTTGTTAATTTATCCAATTCAAAAATTAACCTTGAATTAATGGATTCAAACACCTTGTTGTGAACATTTTCTTTTATTTGAAAATCCTTCTCTTCCTTCCTTTTCTCAGTTTCTTCCTATTTCTCTTTGTTTCTCCTTTTTTTCTGTCTCTTCCTCTTTCACTTTCTCTTTTGTTCTCGTTCTTTCTCTAATTCCCTTTCAAAACATGCTCTTATTTTAAAAATGTCCTAGATTTTGAGCTCCTAAATACACAAGAAATATTTTTCTTGATCCAGCCTGAGACCTATTCTTTTTTTTTTTTTTTTCAGAAAACAGTCAGAATACTCTTCCTAGTAAACGAATTCTGTTACTCACTCTTCAAATGATTTTTTCTTGTCCTCTACCAGTTTATGAGAAGGCTATTTATTAATTTAGTTCCCTTTATGCTTAGGTTAGGGGTTTGGATTTTTTTTCAAGGTAACATTAGTGCTAGCATCCTAGTAGTACAATTACTTCTTTGCCTATCTTAGCATTGTTTGTCCTCTGATATTTGCCAAGAGCTGTCATACTTCTCCTCTGACTTCACTTTGCAGAGCTGACAAATCAAGTTCTTGTGATCAGATCATGACTGGAGATTCTTCATCCTCTTTGCTATCTTAGTAGCCTTTTGCTTGACCATGATTAATGGGGCGACATAATCCCAATGAAAGCTTGCCTACATCTAGGGTTAGAGCATAAAATAATTTCCTCTAATAGCATCCCACTAGCTTTTTTTTTTCCAGGTGTATATCACACATGTAGCATACAGATATTATGCAACAAAATAATACCCCAAGTCCTCTTCCTCCCTCTGTTTTCAGACACTTGCAGTCCTAACTTACAACATGAAATAGTTTCATTCATTCCAGGCCATGATGTTCCGTGTTCTCAAGCGACATTTGTTTTGTTTCTATTATTCCCATTCTGTAAAGTGATTGTGTTCTTTCTCACACAGTATTCCAGAAATCCTACATTTTTCATAGATACAGAAAAGTGTTTCTGGGCCAACTCTGCTATTATTATGTATTATTTCTCTTTATGCAGGATTAATGCTCTATTTTTATTGCGTCTATATTATTAGGAAGCCCTTGGATGCATTTAATTGACTGCACTAATAGTGTAGTGTGAACACTGACCTTGGTCAGACCCATTGCTGTGTTAGTAGTATGAACCTTCAGTTCAAAGGGATTCAGCAGTCTCAAAGTGTTTGTCCTGTCCTGGCAGTTAGGGGGGCTCGTATTCCAGTACGTAGCTATGGATCTGAAGCACAGCTGGGGACTGCAGTATGTGCTGCAGCGCCATCTTAAATCAAGACTTCATTTAGGGAAGGATGGAGTTCCTTTTGAAATGTGTATTGCATCCTATGTGCTTCAAATCTTGACCATGCATGTTTAAACCTGGCTCTTGATCTAAGAGTGCAACATCTTGCTAAAAAGTCAAGCTTACTAAAATTAAGTTTGTGAACATATAAGTGCAGAAGATCTATCTGAACAGGTACATATATTGTTTTGATTTTACACCTACCAAGATAAAATTAACACTTCTTTCTTTTTACCTGAGAGGTTTCTATGTATTTCTTAAATACTCATGACCTGAAACCTATAGCTGATGTCACCGGTTTGACTAATGTGGGGAATCTGACATTTTAATTGTTTGAAATTGAGCAAAAGAAATGCAAAGAAGAAAACCCCACAGATTTTTCTGTTTTCTTTTGGGATTTTGGTACTCTTTCCAAGGAAATGATTTATTCTGATTGGCCCTTAGAATCCTCTACAGAGGAGAGATGAGAAACTATAAATCTTTAAAATAGGTCAACATCTCACTAATTATTGCTTTAATTAGTGACAGCCACATAATAATTTTTATTCCTCTGTTCAATTTAATAGGAGTCAGACATATTTGAATTTTTCTAATTTGAAAGAAGTTGTGCCCTTGATTTTTAATGGACTTCACCCAGTCTGGCAGATTACTTGGAAGTATTGATGGTAAAAATTTAAAGACTGTACCTTTAGTTTTCCTGTCACAGCTGCTCTTTTCATTTTATCCACAAATATTAGTAGGCTGAGCATGTATTACCTGAAGAAATGACAAATAGCAAAAAGTTCTTAATTGGGTTTGAAAAACAACAGCGTGAAGGTAAGAGATTTTTACAGAGACCTGTACATTCGTTAAAAAATATTCTCTCAGTTGATTGTCTCATACACTAGACGTATAACAGTAAATCAAATAATATATGGTTTAAATGGTCCAAAAATACTTTCAACACCTCTACTAGATCTAGTTTGTGAGGTAGGAATAGTGTATGGAATAAGTTTTGGGTTCAGAAAAGACTGAACAGTTGTTTTATACAGGTTGTGCCAAATGACATCACAGTGCTGGGTCATAACCCTCTGAAGTTGGAAAGACCTATGTATGTTCCATGTTCCAATACTGTAATAATTCTTCAAATAATTATGTTATTCTCTGTTAAAATTTCTAAGAAAATAATACTATTACCTTGCTTATTAACTTCTTTACCAGCTGCATTCATTAAGATCAGTTCAAATATACACTAGTTAGTTGCTGTAAACAGAGTATTTCATCTTGCATTTTCTTGTACAAAAAATTTATACAAAACTTATTAGTGACGGAGTTAACAACCTTAGATTACATTTTAAGTACTATTGTACAAGTATTGAGTGTGTATTTTAGTTAATACCATTTAACATGCAAACTGTACTTCACCGCCTAATAAACAGAATTACTTTAATATGGCAAATTATAAAGCAACCTTAGTATAAACAGTACAACAAGTTAATTTAACAGGTTCCTCCTGTTAATTAATTTGTCCTTGATTTACAATTTAAAATATTTTATACCAACAGCATATTTAAAATTTGATATTTCTTCCCTGTTTTCTGATTGTGGGACTTCTTTAGTCAGGTTTTTATAAGACTACATCTGACACACAAACATTTAGTATAGAGTAGTGTGGTATTCTTAATATCCACCATGCTATTAAAGCAGTTCCTGATTAAGTAAAAATTAATTTACATTAGACTGCAAATTACTATCTCTATTATCTCACTCCTCTCACTCCTCAGTATTGTGGTAATTTATCAGTACCAGAGGAGCTAAGTAATACAAAAGAAATGTGGGGAATTTTGTGCAGAGTATGAAAATTAATCTCATTACATACCTTGCTGGCTGGCTCATCCACTTTCCTGCCGTGTGGCAGTCATCACCGTGCACCAGGCCTTGAAGCACCAGACACACTGTTTCTCCTCTGCTTCTCTCAGTGGGAAGATCCTGCTGCTTGAGCAGCCCTTCAGGGTGGAGACAGTGGGACAGTGCTTGTTCTGCTGGAAAGCTTGCTTTGCTTATTGCCTGACTTACCTGTGCTCTACACCTTTCTTAGCCACCACCTTGAGTACAGGATAAGTGAAATAAAATGAAATGTTGGCGTTTAATCATCCCAGTTCAAAAACTAAATTTTAACTTTTTGAAAATGACTGGCCTGTGTCTGTAAATTGGACAATACCTTGAATCTGCCTCTTGCTATAGTAGGACCATTCACCCCTGAGTGAAACTGATGCCCCAGACTGCCTCAACAGCTGCAGTAAGGAGGTAGTAGCTCGTTTCCCTTCATATTTTCGTGTCACAGATGATACTCTACAGATCTGAGCCTACATGAGACAGATAGCCTCGCTTCCCACTGGGAAGGCATGAAAGGATCACTTCTCACGCTCTACGTTGCAAAGCATTTTAGAGTGACATTTGTAAGCTATTTTTGATTCGGAACATTGCTTCTGAACGGTTCGTACTTGGAAGTTTCTCGTGTTCTGCCGCGCCGGGTTTGGGCGAGACTTGAGCGGGGCTTGCGCTGCGCTGGGCGATGCTCCGTGCGCGGCCGGCAGGGGTCGCGGCGGTGCCGGCGGAGGGGCCGCATCGTCCCGCATCCCGCCCGGCCCCCCGGGGCAGCGCCCGGGGGCGTCCCGCGGCCGTCCCGGGGCCAAGCTCTGCCCCTCTGGCTCCGGGCAGGCGTCGCTTAAGGAGGGGGAAAAAGGAAAAACAATTTTATAAAAAAAAAAAAAAAGGGGGGAGGGAGTAGTGGGAGGGCGTGGGTGTGTTCTTCTAACTCAAGGAGAGGCTGGCAGGCAGTGCTCCCTGCTCCTCTCCATGAGAAGCCTTGGAAATCAGACTACCCCCAAGAAAAATTGCTGAGAGCAGGGTTTTTGTTCTGTTCTTGGAGTAAGAAGGCAAGTGGTGAATATTAAATGCAGGTTACTTTCAGATGCCGCTGCCATAACCTCAACCTACGGCAGCGATGTGACATCGGAAGGGGAAACACATGGCTCTAGATGGCATAGTTCATCAGCTGGGTCTTCAGACCTTCCTTACATCCATTTTTTATGTGCTCCATCATCATCGTCACCACCATTATTATTGCTACTGTAGTTTAGAAGGGAGGAAGGTTCTCTGTTTCTGAAAGCTTTCCAAAAGAACCTCCATCTATTCCAAAGTTCCACTTCTTTCCAAGCAGTAAGAAATATTTTTAAAATTACATTGCGAGATTGGCAGTAGCAGGCTCACTTACATATTTATGTTTCTTTTGCTGTGGAAGTATAGAATGTTTATAACAAAGCTTTAGTGCTGATTTCCAAGAAAACAAGAAGGAATGAGATGTGGTGGAGATAATGCCTTAGTGCAGGGGTAGTCAGTTCATGTTTGTAATCCTGCAAAGAGTTTAACTGAGTCCTTCAGGTTGCTCAGGACACAACACATTTAAAAGACTTCCCTGTTCTCTACCTGTATGAGGGTTAATCTTGGCTGTGCATCATCCTGGCCCACACATGAGCAGGTGAAGATGGACTTTCCTCTGTTTACTGCATGGCTCTCCTGAGGTCTTGCGAAGTGCTGGGTCTTACAAAGAACACATAAACAGAAGAAATGACACACAGAAATTAGAGCAATCTGAGGGTACATAGAAAATGTGCAAATGTGCATATGTATGTGTGGGTAGATGTGTATATGTGAAGAGGCGTCTCAAAAACAAGAAATGAGAGAAGCTATGTGGCACGGCAGGAGCAGGCAGTGCATTGAGAAAAACTCATCCTCAGCTCTCTGAGCTGAAGAGAAAGGATGGAGTAGCCCACGTACTTCATCTGTCTACTGGACAGCATAAGGATGATTACAAGGAAATGAAGAGGCTGAGGAAAAAGCAAGATTTCTCCTCTTCTATCCCTTTGCAGAGAAGGGTGATCAGTCCAATTTACAATCCAGTTTTTGGTAAAAAACCTACTGCAGTCAGTGATGTCTCCTGAGCGCGATAGAAAAGAGGAAAAAGCTCTATGACCTTCAGGCAGATGGTGTTGTTATCATTTATAGTTCTTGTAGTTATTGCTGTTTCTTAGTTGTTTTGCCTTATTTAGTGTTTGAGAGCATCCCCTGCCCTGGCTGGCTGTGGCTGCCGTTTGATAGACGGCAGAGTAGAATTAGGCCGCGGCAGATGGCCGCGAACGGAGCCGGGACGGGAGCGTGACAGAACCCCCGCAGGACTTGCTTCCAACCTGGCTTTTTCAGAGTGGCGGTTGGGAGGACTCGACGGGAGGGATGCGCCGGGGGACCCGCTCGGGGACTCCGCCGGGGCAGCGGCTGTGCACCGCGCAGGCCAAGCCGCTCTCCTGCCCTACCCTCAGGGATGCTAGGTTTTCTTCCGCCGGGGACGCTCCATCACGAGGGCCACCCGGTGCCACCGGGACGTGTCTGCAGCACGACCGGGAGCAGGTGGCCTGGCCGCCCGCGTCGGGAGTTCGATGACGCTGCCAGCACCAGGGACAGCGCCGGCCGCGGTCCCGGCCCCCACCCGGCCCCCTCTCGGTCCCTCCGATCCTTTGTTCCGACGCCCCGCGGAACAAAGACTTCCGCCGCCGACGGCGCGGAGACCCCGGCCTCTCCCGTCCCCGCCTCCGCCCCCTCCCCACACCTGCCGGCTTGCCCCGCCACCGCCGTCGGTCTCCATCGGAGCCGCCTCTCCGGTGCCCCCGGCCGCACACACCCCGGCCCCCGCGCACGCCGCGCTGCCACCGCCGCCCCGCCGCCCTCCCCCGCGCGTAAGCTGCCCCGCACACACTACCCCGCCGCCGCCGCCCCCTGCTCCGCGTTCGCAAATCGCCGCCTTGCTCCTCACCCTGCCGCCCAGACCGGCGCAAAAAGTCCGCACACCGCTCCGCTGCCCACCGGCACCGCTCTGAGCCGGTCTCCCCACACCGTCCCCGTACTCTACTCTCCTCCGCTCCCCCTCGCAACCGCCGCACACTCCTCTTTACGCGTCCCGGCTGCCTCTCCGCACACGTCTCTGCTGCAGTGTCCCCGCCGCACATCCAGCATCTCCCGCACCCATTCACCAGCGCCGCACATGGCTCTGCCGGCCCGCGGCACAGACGATGTTCTGCTGCCTCTCGCGCACCTCGCCACTGCCCCAGGGCCCGCGTTCCTCGGATTCCAGAGAAGTCCCGCAAGAGGAGGAGCCACTACCGAGCGGGCACCCCTAGCTACCGACTGGGCGATGAGCAAAGAACAATCCTCGCGATGATAATATTAGAAAATGTATTTATTTCCCATTAATCGACTTTACATGATTCAGCCCAAGAAAGCAAGAGGTCGAGTCACCACCACCTTGAAAATCCACCACGGCTACCCCAACGCTCCAGTAGTCCCCCACGGCCCCGTTACCTGCTGATGACAGCTGCCCTCGCGGGCGCCCGTCCCATGGCAGTGACATCTCTCCACCGGGCTGCGCCGATCAGTACGCCAGTCCTAGTTAGTCTCGGTTTCCATAGGTGAGTACAGGTTGTCGAGCTCTTTATTGCTTTGTCTCTCCTTTTTTTTTTTTTTTTTTTTTTTTTTAACTTTTCAGTTTTCTATTACTTTTAGTATTAACGTTTTTGTTATGGTGTGTTCTAGCGAGATCTTTCATGCTGCTTTGAGGATCCGCTCTTGGCATTCACCGCGTGCCTTAATTGTATGACATTAAATCAAGGTCCGCTGTGAACACGGAGAGTCAGAGCCTTAAGAGCGCTCTCTCTCTCTCTCTCTCTCTGGAAGCAGAACAGCAACTGATCCCCGAAAAAAAACCCGGTGATTTCCCTCTGCCCTAGTCCCATCCTGGCCTGGGCTGCATATAACTCATGCTCGAATTTTCTGACTAGCCGATCTGTTGTTTGCAATGCTCAGGAAGCTGTAAAATATGTATTTAATGGATTAAAAAAAAAAAAAAAAGGGAGAGAAATTAAACGTGTGCCTATTAGACACTTCCAGGTGATTGCTTTAATTTCACCAGCGTCTTCGCATGATTTTAAATACAGGAGCTGGCTCTCCCCGACTCGACGTCTGTGATTTGGTATCCCTGGCTCAGGGGGATGACCGTTCTTTCCGGCTGCCTCGGTCCGCCTGGTCCTGCGGCTTCCCTGGAGCACGGGCGGGAGGAGCCCTCACCCCCAGAGCATCCCCGCTTCTCTCGGCCGGGGGAAGGAGGGGGGAGAGGGAGGTCTTTCGACGATGAAAAATGAAAGGGCAGGACGTGTCATCTTTCTTTGTAAAGCGGAAAAAAATTTAACTCACTCGCACCTGCCCCTTTCCCGGGAGGGCCTGGGCAGCCCATCTGGCCTGCCTACACTGAACTGGCGAGTGAGGAAATGAGGGGTGAAGTCATTACAATAATTTTAAAAAAATAAAATCAGCCTAAGCTTTTTTTATTATTATTACGCTTTTTGCCATCTTTCACCGCTCAGGACGGGGACCATTCCTTTTCGGTGACGATGGCGTGCCGGGGAGAAGCAGAGCGGCCGGGCGCCTTGCATCACCCTGCGGGCTGGACCACGGCCGGACCCCGGGAACTGGGCGGCTGACCTCGATTGCTTCCTTCGGCCCCAGGGCCCGGAGAGAGAGAGGAGGCGAAGGCGGGATGTACTGCGGCTGCATACGGCGGCGCCCGGTCTCCTGCGGCGGGCTGGGCTTCCCAGAGATTTTCCCGTAGCTTGCCGGGGCATCTGGGGGCAAACTGGGCAGACGGTTCCGACCCCCCTCAGCACCGCAGCTCCCGCGTGCGGCCGCCTGGAAAACAGACAAAGCAAGAGCGTTAGAAAGGCAGGCGGGGAGGAGAGGAAAGGCAGGCGGGGAGGGAAGGGCGCCGGGAGCCCGCACGCCGCGAGGTTGCCAATGACAAAAGGAAGAGAGGGGGGAGTCAGAGCAGGGGAAGGGCGGGGAGGGAAGGGGAAGGGGAGGAAGGAAAGGGAAGGGAAGGAAGAGAAGGGGGGCCCACACGGACTGACGCGGATCTGGGGCCGGCCAGACCCGAGCCTGTGGGGCTGCTCGGTCCGCGGCCGGGGAGAGACAAGGCGGAACGCCCATCACCGCAGCGCCGGGGCGAGCGGGCATCTGAGTCTCTGCAGTGAAGTGGGAAGGGGCCAGCCGCGGGGAACCGCAGAGAGCAACCTCCTTGCCCGCCGCTGCAAAATCCCCGGAGAGCAAGCACAGGGGAAAGCTTAAAATGAAAAAAAAAAATTAAAAAATTAAGGGTATGGAGGGGGGTGG